AAGAAAGAAAGAAAGAAAGAAAGAAAGAAAGAAAGAAAGAAAGAAAGAAAGAAAGAAAAGGAAGGAAGGAAGGAAGGAAGGAAGGAAGGAAGGAAGGAAGGAAGGAAGGAAGGAAGGAAGGAAGGAAGGAAGGAAGGAAGGAAGGACCTAGTTTTACTATTTGACAATTGTGGCGGTTTGACTAGGTGTGATCCCTATGGACTCATGTGTTTGAGTGCTTGCCCCATAGGGAGTGACATTACTAGGAGGTGTGGCCTTGTTGGAGGAAGTGTGTCACTGTGGAGGCGTGCTTTGAGGTCCTCAATTACATCATTGTATTTGTTGTGTTTTTGTTTGTTTTTTCTAAAAGAATGCAACATGGCACCAGCAGGTTCCTCTGAAAGAGCACACCTTCTTTGTAACTGCATTCTGGGACAATGCAGAGAGAGTGGGAGCATTCTTCTCTTTATTTGTGAGAGTGAAAATGAACTCATTTTGATTTTCCTCCCCACATACCCTCTTCAGCTGATCTTTCTGACCATTGCACTTGCTACTCTTGTCTTCCTTCCAAACTTGGACATTTTGTGCAAGTGTTAACGATCTTTGAGTGACAGCACATAACTGTTTTCTTGGTCCATCTGTGGCACTCTGTTGTAATGTGAGCAATTCAGTTTTGGGCTTCTCAGGACAGCACTGAGTTTATCCCCCATTCATAATGTGTGTTTCTGGAACCCTTCCTGAGTTAGATCTCAATGGGAACTGGTTAGGGTGCTGGCCAGCCTCTTGGCAAGTTCTTGCTTCTTCATGGAAGAGTAAGACATCTCTACAGACCCACTTTGGCACCCCACTCTGCCCCAATGCTGGTCCATTCATCATCCTCTTCCTTTATCTCAACCTCCAGAAATCCTCCTTCTGTGATGCAATGCTTAGTCTCTTCTTCATATTTGGTGCACTTCCTCCTACAAGTGCCTCAGAAGTTTTGCCTCAAAATTTGTTCTGTGGGATTGGTGTCTCTGGGATTTGGTGCTCAGAAGAGCGAGTTCCACATTCTAGCAGGAACCATCAGTGCCAGTGTGTTTTCCCATGGGCCAGTCTGAGAAGGCCCATTTGTTATTTGTTATTTGTTTTGCTGCATCAGAATTCCTGACAGAAGCAACCAGAGGAAGGGTTTATTCTGGCCTCTGGTTCTAGGAGCTTGTGGCAGAAAAGGTATGGGGCAGGAGCAAGAGGCACTGCTCACACTGCATCAACAGGCAGGAAGCAGGGAGTAAACAGGAACTGGGGCTTGGCTGTAAAACCCCAAGTCTCATCCACAGTGACCCACTTTTTTCAATGAGCCTTCATTTCCTAATGGTTTCACAATCTTCCAAAACTGGGTCACCAACATATGGGGGACATGTTTTGTTCAGACCACAACAGTGTGGTCTGTAGTCCCAGAATCAAGGTCTTGCTTCCTACTGTCATGACTTTCCATGGCTTCCACCCCTCCCTGTCACCATAAACCTGGCAAGATTTCCCCTGCCTTTTCCCAGGCTGCTGTCTGTCCCTCACTCTGTAAGAGACTGCCTTGCAGTTTGATACCCCACATACCCCAATAAACTATCTTTCCACCCACAGAGTGGTCTAGTTTGGTGGTTTCACTCATTACAGTTAGCATCTGAGGAAAAACAAAAACACTTTGAGTGAGGAACTTTTTGTTTAAATCTGTATAACCCTGACAGGTTCTTGGAGGGGGATGGGAATTACATGTGGAGCAAATGATGGAGTGCCACCATTACAGGTAGGAGGAGGGCCGGGGCAAGCACAGTTGCCGAGGGGAGCTAGTCTGGGTCCGTTCTAGCTGACAGTTCTTTTAGCTGTCTGCGTTTGCAACAATTCCCCTTTCACTTATAAGTATACAAAAAAAAAATTGTGTTGTGCTTTGGGGGATTGCTCGGTGGGTAAAGCATTTGCTGTGTAAGTATAAGGCCCATGTGACTGCTGGTGGGCATGGCAGCCCTCCTGTGGTCTCAGCGCTAGGCGGGCAGGGAGGAGGGGATCCCGGAGCAAGCTGCCTTAGTAGGATAGTCAAATCACTGAGCTCTAAGTTCCGGTGACAGCCTGCCTCCATGTTTAAGGTGGAAGGTAACAGAAGAAGACACCGAGCGCCAACCTCTGAATTCATATGTAACGTGTGCACGCCTGAAGTTGCATGTCCTCAGCACACGTGCGACAGCACATCCACGGACACACGCACAGCCCCCACACCGAAGATGCAATTTTTCCCCTTGAGGGAAGGGGTGAGTGCGATCAACATACATTATATTCCATTCTCCAAGAATTTACTCTTTTAAAACATGAAATTAAGAAAATTTTTGTTGTGCACATTCATCTCTGCATTGATACCTAAGATTTGTTCTCCATTAAATGTTTTTCACATACTATAAAAAAAGAAAAAGTTCCCACTTCAGAACATCCATCTTCTTGCCTATGAAGCACAGGTACTTTACCCATATCCAAACTCCCTGATAAATTACATTAAAAACAAACAAACACGAACAAGCAAATGAGTAAGCAGGTTTTGTGAGTCTGAAAAGATTCCCCTACCCCTCATGTGTCATTACGTGTCCCCTGTGTGTTATTTGACAGCATGTGGGATCCAGCACAGATGCATTTGACAAATGCTCACTGCGTGAATGAGAAAAATGAAACAAACCCTTAAACACCTAAAAACAGCAGGCAATTAAGGAATTTTTTTTTAAAATGGTGCTAAGAGGACTGTGGGAGAATTTAGAATTTGCCTAATTGGAGAACCCTTGGCTGGTTTTGAAAACTACAGCAAGTGGCTGAGAACCAGGGAAAGCTGAGTGCTCTGTGAGTGGCAGGCACTGTGCCCTCTGTGAAAATGAAGGAGCAGACATTGGAAAGCTGGGGGACACAGCCAGAGGAGGTGGGAGGGAAAAAGGAATGCAAATACGAGAGAGAAAATGGAGAAGGAGAGTGGGAAAGGAGAAGGAAAGGCTGTTGACAGTGTGGATTTGCAATTGGTTCTGGGCCCTGGTCTCTATTCTCTTGGGACTAGCTAAATTGGACACTGGCAGATATTATAGTCTTTTGAATATAATAAATAATTCTATTCCTTGCACTAACCTTAATAAGCCTGTATTCCTGGAACTGAAATAGTTTTGATCAAAATATCAAGGGCTCAGTTGATAAATTTATTTATTGAGTGCCAGGCACTCAATAAAGACCTGAATTCCAATCCCCAGCGAGCATCTACATAAAAGCAGGGTGTGACCACTCACACATATAACCCCAATGCTGAAGGTGTGGAGATAGGGGGATCCCCAGAACTCACTGGCCAGCCAGTGTAGGCAAACGGGTGAGCTCCAGGTTCAGTGGGAGAGGAAGATAGCAGTAGCTGGCCTTTGGCCACCACCACATTCACACACACACATAAGCCTGCACACTGTCCCTCTGCCTCTTGGTGCTAACTCTTCTCTATGAACACCACAAAGGTTAGAAAGCTCATGTCTTATTGTTTCTAACTAAGCTTGCAATTCTTTAGAGGGAGCCTCCCTCTGTTTATGAACGTGAAGTCTATGAAGTGAGCTGCTGTGAGAATATTGAACTCACCCACTTTGACTCTGCCTGTGACCTCCCCTTCTGAGTTGCGAGCATTGACTGTCACATTCTGAGTTGACTGCAGAAGCAGAGATGAGTCCTGGAGAGGATTTACAAAATTAGGAAAATACACTTTTATGTCTACATATAGCTTACAATTACACTTTCTATATAACTGCAGATACAGATCTCTAGATATAGATATAGATATGTTTGCAGCAAAAACATTTAAAACCTCAGATTTACATTAATATCAGGATATAAATATATTAACTTTTAAAAATAGATTATAACAACCCTTTGAGTTTATAATGTTTAAAAGTACTGCTCCTAACATGTTAATTAGTTCTCAAGGCAAACAGATTCTAATTAGCAATTTATCTTTGCCAGGACATTCAGTCTTAGTTGTCATTGTTATCTGGGTTCAAGGCATTTCTGGGGGATACATTGGAGAATGGTTAGATATTCTACAAGAAATACCATGATGTTTAAGTGCAAAAGTTTGCTCACAAAAAGCAAAAAGCATGACACAGAAAGACAGGGAATGCAGGCCCAATCATCTTTGTGGTCTGAAGAAGATGCTCTCTCTTAGAAGGTACTGAGCATGGAGGGGGCTAAGAGGTGGGGTGGTAGGTGGAGAAGGTTCATCAGTGGGTATGAGTCACAGTTCTTCAAGAACAAGATGTTGTGGGGTGCAGTGGAGCAGTGGAACCATAGTTAACCGCGACTCACTGCACATTTCAAAAAGAAAAAAAGACATCACTTTCAGTGCTTCCACAATAAAAAAAATTAAAACTTTGGAGGAAATATGTTTGACCTAATTTAAACATTACCCAATGTATATGTGTGTTGGAACACCCCAGGGTACTTTTGAATATTTAAGTTTTGGGTAGGTGAGATGTCTCAGTAGATTTAAAACAAAACAAAACAAAACCTTGCTGTGCAAACCTGACCACCTGATTTTGGTCTCCAGATCCCATATCCCATCATGGAGAAGGAGAGTCAACTTCCAGAAGTGACTTCCTCTGATCTTACAGAGGCACGTGCATGCACATACACACAGTATATAGAATTTTTAAAAAGTATGTAATGTGTGTTTCCTGAGTGTGTGCTTAAGAGTAGAACCACTATGACTGCAAACTTGGGTCCTCATGGCCATGAGGTAGGCTTTCCCCAGCCCCACACACCACTTTTGAGTGTGCTACATAGCCAGAGCAACAGATGTAAAGGAGACATTCTTTCAGCTCAGCACTGTAGATCACTGTGGAGTGGCAAACTCTTCAGATCGATGAGGTAGCTCATTCTCTGTGATTTTTTAGAGAACTGCTCCCTAAAAAAAGGGTAACCAACATATTGAATGTCACAGGTTTCTCCAGGGCACATCTGTTCTGCAATTGTATGTCCTGATTGACATCAGTGTCACACTGTGAGCCTTTAACACGTGGTTGGCTATCCTGACTTTCTTTCTAGTGGTACTCCCTGTTTTCCTCAAGGCACTCTGGAAATGACAGCCTGATAAAATATAACTGAAAGTTGTTAATTCTAGAACATTCCGTTTGCTATGGTTAGCTGCCAGGTCCTACTATCTGCTGTCTCCCCCAAATACAGTGAGGGATCAACCAGCACGACTTGGGAAAGCAGGGAGAATAAGACCTTGTATTTCAATTTATTCATGCCTGACTTTCTAACAAAAACTTGTGCTCATTTTCTTTGTCCTCGTGCAGCAGTGTCCTTAACATTTCCAAGTGCCCCTGCAGTTATTGTATGTGCTGGAATAAGCTCAAATCTGGCTCACGTATGCATCAGCTTGTGTTACAGGCCATCTGCCTGCTCCTTCTGCCAGCAAGATTCCCAGAAATACTACAACACAACCATGGCAAAACTTCCCCTATGCTCTGCCCTCTCTGATACCGCCCTTTGTGTCAATACCGTGACTCTTGAAGGACTCTAATAGGCCCAAGCTTGGCAAACATGGCTCTAGCAGGCCTTGCTCTTTCCCCATCCCCTCTGCGTTGCTAAAAAGTTGGAATGCATTCCTAAAGCTAGCCACTAAGGTCTATTCCCTTCTTTAGCCACTTCCTCCCACCAAGTTCCTCCCACTTCCTTCCACCAGGTTCCAGCTATCAAAGAATTGAAGTCCAGCAACCAAAAATCCTCTTTGGCTCACCTAGTTAACATACCCAATCAAAACAAACTCTGTGGGGGTTCGAGGGATGGAAAGGGCTGGGAGGGGTCTCCTTTTCCCATTATAAACTACCATTTGCCTATGAGCCAAGTCTGTCTCCTCTCTATCCAGAGGCTGTCCTTTGTTCCTCCAGGTTAAATGTCCCTCCCTCCTCTTGCTTGCTCCCTTTCCCTTCTCCCTTCTCCCTTGTCTCCTGTCTTTGTATCTTACTCCCTGCCCTTTGTCCCTCTGGGGCAAATAAATCTCATTTTGCTGAGAACTTAGTCTTAGGGTGTCTTATGACATACCAGTCCTTTCAATTCTCATTCTGCTGCTGGTAGGAGACCCTGAAGAATTTTCTGATGGCTCTTTGGGAGTATCTTTACTTTGGTCTCTGTGATCCTTCTTTTTATATATGGTGAATCTCAGTCTCTAATGCAGAATATCTCTGTGACAGAGATTCCTCCCAAGCTCCTCAGAGTGCTCTGAGTCAAGGCTGTTTTAAGCTGCTTGCACCAATGGAGGTATAGTCAATTGTTCTGGGTAAAGATTTTTATATTTATAGTTGTGAGCCTAGTCTTTAACGCTGAGCCATCTCTCTAGGCCCTGGGTAAAGATTTTTAATCCTAAATTATATTATTTTTTTATAACTAAATTGCTGAGGATACTGAACTCAGAGCAGAAGAATTTAAGAATAAAATCTCTATAGCATGTATAGTAAGGTAAGGTCTACCGCCCAATAGCACATTGTGAGACAGAACATACCATGAATGTGTGGACACACGGACTTGTTAAAAATCCCCTCTGAACAACAGAATTTCTGTGCTTAACTGTTACTTATTTTTCACAAGTTATGTGAAATACAATCTTCTTACCACTCGGGAGCGTATTTCCTTGGCATACAGAGGAAATAAAAATTCCGATTCCCCTTCCAGGCGAAGTCCATCTGCTGTAACATGCAGGTGACCCATTCCTATCTGTTAAAAAAGAGAGAAAGACATGAAGTTGTCCATTTTAAAAAATTTTTTACTTCTCTTTGATTAACTAAGCATATACATTGCATCTCCATATATTCCTTCCATTTCTCCATGTTTCTTCCAAATGTCTATTTTAAACTTTAGTTGTTTATATTCAGTATTTGTTCAAAAAAACCTTTTGTAAGTACAAAAGTCTTATATGTATCTTGGGAGATCCATATAAGATTTAACAAATCATTTTATAATAAACAGCTGAGACTCCATGAGCATCTTACTATTACTTTTTCCATTTTATTGATTGACTGATTGACTGATTGCATGTAGGATCATATGTGTCACAGTGTCTGTGTAGAGATCAGAGGACAATTTGCAGGAGTTGGTCCTCTCCTTTGGTTACCTGGGTCCCGGGAACAAAACTTAGATTGTCAGGCTTGGCAATAAGTCCCTTTGCCTACTGAGTATCCCTCTGTGTGGGGAGCAGAGGAAACCGCCAAGTTTCTTCAGGAATGCTCTAGGCACAGCAATCAAAGGCCAACTGGAGAAGCCCTTACATCAGTGGTTCTCAACCTTTCTAATGCTGTGACGCTTTAATACAGCTCCTCATGTTGTGGTGACCCCCAACCATAAAATTTTTCATTGCTACTATTCCTAACTGTGATTTTGCTGCTGTTATGACTTGTAATGTAAGTATCTGGTATGCAGGATATCTGATATGTGACTCCCAAAGGGGTCATTACCCAAAGGTTGAGAATCACCAACTTACAACAATCCCTACAACAATCCCTACAATAATCCTTACAACAAGGACCAAACCCACCTTTTCATGAATTCAAAACCAACTGATTTGAAGCCTTACTTATACCTGAAGACTTCTTCATGGTGCATTTATAAGGTAATAGAAGGAATGCCAGCCCATCTCTTTCACCATCTTCTACTGGTTAAAACAAACCATAGGCCCACCCACACTCAAGGGTAGGGCTACAGGGACTGTAACCCAGAGGGGAGACATCATGGAGACATCTTAGAATTCTGCCAAGTAGGTTATTAAAAAGCAACTAAAGGTATTTAAAAGTGAAGGTTTGTAACAGTGTAAGGCATTTAGTGGCTACTATACTAATCATCTAATTGTTTTTAATGCAGTGCAGATGATCATAAAGTTAAGATTCAGGTCTGCATGTGATTTGGAGTCTCAGTCCACAAAAATGAGAGGCCAACACTTGTTTAAAATCCATAAGCCAAGTATATGGGCATAAAATCATCCAGGAAGGGCCACAGAGTCATTTGTTATGTCAAGTGCCCTAGAAAAGAAGGAAGTTGTGGTAATTTGGATGAGTCACCTGAACTGGCTCAGGAAGTTGAATCCTTGGTTCCCAGTAGATAGCACTGCTTGGGAAGGTCTAGGAGATGCAGCTTTGTTGTTTGGAGTGTGTCACTGGGGTGGGCTCCAAGAGTGTACAGTCTTGCCTTTCACTTCTGATTCACTCTCTGTTTTGTGTTTGCTATTGAAGATGTGAGCTTTTGGCTTCCTGCTTTGACCACTATGCCTTCCAGATGCTGTCCATCCCCACCATGATGGTGGGGTCTTATACACCTGCATCTGTAAGCCCAAATAAACTTTTCTTCTATCACAGCAACAGAAAAGTAACTAAGGCAGAAGCAAAGAGCATAAAAATAAACACTTCATTCAAGCTTTCACGCTGAGTTGTCCAACCGTTTTGTTTTGTTTTGTTGAGAGTTTTGATTTTTGCCACATCTCCTGTTGACTGCCACATTCTAGAACATGCCATCATAATTTTGAAGGTACACATGGCTATTGCGAAGGGTCCCAGACCCTCTGAGGAGCTCCAGTCACATTAACATAGAAGAAGTAAAGAGAGTGGGTTGATAGTTGAATAATTAACATGGCATTACTACTCTGATTAAAGCAAAAAAAAAAAAAAAGTCCCTTTGCTAATTTGCTTTAGCTGTGGTGTTTTATCATAGCAATAGAAAAGTAGCTAATACATTTTCAGCTGTCCAGCCTTCATGAAAAAATGCTGGGCCTTGGTAGCCAATACCATCATGCTGCTGCAGAAGTATTATCAGTATAAGTTCTAACCTAGAAATCATATTCCATATTGTCTAATGTTAATACACTCATATTAATACACATATTAATATCAATATGTTAATTCACATAATTTATAATAATTTCTAATAATAAAAATAATAATATACTGTAGTAAATAAAATTATGGTACTTTACACTAAATATATTCAGTGCTTTTGAGCTATATTTTAATGTTATGAGTATTGTACCAGAATGTGTAGAAATAGAAATGTTTATTATGTAAAGAGAGTAATGATAGCTATTGGCTTAAGCCATGGCAGGACAGAAACAAGGGCACAGAAAATGTAGGACTTACTGAGTGCATTTCATGCTTGAACCTCAGACTTTAGTTATCATTCTTGGAGAGAGCACACATCACACCCTCAGCTGCCTGGGAAAAAACATACCGACTAGACTGTGATGTCCCTTGTAGTAGAATTTTTATCTCACTAGATGTATCTTGCTAAATGAATGTATTCTACATTAAATGAGAACCCCCATCCCCAAAGGCACAACACAAGGGCTTCTTGGGACATACCTTAATGGTAGAGTACTTGACTAACATGCAAAAGGCCATGTGTTCATTTCCCAGCACCACAAAATGTACACAAAATATCAAGGCAAAGAAGGTTGTGCAATTATTTTTAACATGTGGGAATGTTTAGAATAAATTCTTTAAGACTGCTGGCATCTTAGTTTCTAAATCTGTTGTGCATATTTAAGTGTTCGCAAACATATTTGTGTGCATCAAAACAGAGTGTTTAAAACATGCAAATATTTCATTGCTCCGGCTTGGGCATGGTTTAAGTGTGTCCCTCCATGGTAGTGGTTCTCAATTTGTGGGTCATGATCCCCTGGGGGTCAAATGATCCTTTCACATGGGTCACCTAAGACCATTAGAAATATTAGATACATACATTATGATTCATAACACTAACAAAATTACAGTTATGAAGCAGCAATGAAAATAATTTTATGGTTGGGATCACCATAACATGTATTAAAGGGTGGCAGCATTAGGAAGCTGAGAACCACTGCTTCAAGGCCTCCTGTGTTGGCAGCTTGGCCATTGAGGATGGCAGTTCTGCGGTGGGTATGGATTTTTCAGAGGTGGGTCCTCGTGGAAGGTCCTTGGGTCAATGGCAACTCCTACTTGGAAGAGCCTGAGATATTTGTTTGGGGGCTCTAGTTAGTTCTCATGGAGGGTTGTGATAAAGGTCACAGCTGCTCCCCACTCACTCTGGCTGGTGTGATTCCTCCTGCCACATGCTTTCTTGCATTACCACCAGGCACGTTGAGGTCCCCAAACCTCCAAAATTGTGAGCGAACAAAGTTCTCCGCTTTTTAGCCCAAGTCATCAGTTCTAAATAGGACATCTCTATAAACCTCCTTCCCAATGGGCTTGGTGGACATCAGGGAGAAGGAGGCGGAAAGAACTTAAGAGCTGGAGGATGAGGAGGTGAACTCACAGCAGCAGTGGTCACCTTCGTGGATCAAGGCAGTCAAAATCCTGTCATAGACAGGTAGACGGTCTGGGGCGCAACCCTTACTGTGGAGCTATGACGGTGGATAATGGCAGAGGGAGAGAGAGTCATGCTTCTTACAGGATGTGACTACCGTCAGGAGATCTTCAGGCTCCAGTGCATGGCCCTGCATCCCCTCACATATGGGCAGCACTGATTAGATTTAGTGGGTTATTTTTTAAAAAATGACGTAAAATTGAAAGTTGGATCTGTTAAGAGAGATATGGGGAGAACTGGAGGGGGAATGGGAGTAGATAAGATCATATTTTAATGTATACATGCATAGAATTATCAAGAATAAAGAAAAGAGTTAAACAAAACACTAAATGAAAAACAAAAAAGCCTCTTTAAAAACAAATACCTGCCTCACATATTTCATTAGGTAATTTAATTAAAGAAGAGTAAGGTATGCAAATGCTAAACATACAGGATTGGAGACATGAGGAAAAACTTGTGATTTATATACTTCTATAGACTGTATTCTACAAATGACCACTAAGATATCGTGAACCAGTCAACCACAAATTCAAGATTAGAGTTTTTCTACCATCTAGAGATAATGACTAATGAAAAGTGCAACATGATAAAGAAAAAAAAGTCTATATCTATATCTCTATAGCTTACAGTGAGTCAGAAAAAGCAAAAATGATGCCATGTAGCCACTGAAAACCCTGAGGCAGTCAGGAAGCGTCTATCCACATACGGTTAAGGCGATAATCCAGCAAACACATTAGGAGCATGCTCAGAAAGTGGTAATACTCACTGGAGAAAACCACATCACTTTTAGAATCCAGATTGTGAGAGCGAGGTTCAGGATGAGTGTTGTGAGCAAGAGAAGAACGAAGAGGTAGAGGCAGCGCTTCCTCCAGCCGTAAATGCCGATCTTGTAGACAGGCTGGCTCTCAGGCCTCTCGAGGTGGAAGCCCTCAGTAACTGTGGTATACTGTTCTCGAACCATCTTCTTGGGGAGGGGAGGAGGCAGAGGGACAGGAGAAGGGAAGGAGGGAGGAGAGAGAATTTAGTTGTCAATACTGATTTATTATGAGTCTAGAAAATAATTTTACCCTAGACCTAACCAGAAGCTGGCTCTGGTGTGCACACCTGTAATCCCAGATGCCAGAGAGGGTAGGGAGAGCAGGAGACGGAATACTCATTTACAAGAAGGCTTTGCTTATATAGCAAATAGAGAGCTGTGAATAAAAAAAATGCAGCAAATCTGATGTTTATATAAAAACACTGATGATTTCTATCTAATGTGCAAGTTACACAAACACTGATATTTGGGGCCGGGCAGTGGTGGTGCCACAACTTTAATCCCAGCACTGGGTAGGCAGAGGCAGGATCTCTGTGAGCTGGAGGCCAGCCTGCTCTACGGTGCAGGTTCCAGGACAGCCAGGGCTACACGGGGCACCACGCTCACTCCCACCCCAAAGAGCTGATTTTGTTTGTTGTTTATACTGACACCAAATACCTATGGAAAAGGAACCTAGAAATTCAGATAATGTCTCTCAGGTACTCATTCTAATCAGCATGGGCAGACGGGCAGCTCCCCAGTGCTTTGAGGTCATGCAATGTGCAATTCATGCTGGCATGAAATTGTAGACCTGAAAACACACAGCACTATTTATAACCTTGTACAACAGTAATGGAGGGAGCGAATATTCTAGAACTTCATACCTAAACTCAATGACATGGAACTAATTCTGCAGTATATATGTATACTGAACAAAATTTAATTTTATAAACTAGTTTTAAATGACTTACGTTAGCATTAAAAATTACACTTCCTGCTCACTATCCTTCAAAATATATTTGTGTTATACTTAATTATTATTGACTTTAAATGCATCACTTAAATCTAAATATCAGGGGCTTTTTGGTTTTTTCTTTTGGTTTTTCGTTTGTTTGCTTGTTTTGGGTTTTCTTGTTTGTTTGTTTTTGGTTTTGGGTTTTTGAGACAGGATTTCTCTGTGTAACCCTGGCTGTCCTGGAACTTACTCTGTAGACCAGGCTGGCCTTGAACTCACAGAGATCTGCCTGCCTTTGCTTCCCAAGTGCTGACATTAAAGGCGTGCACCACCACTACCTAAATATCAGTATTTTTACAATGTACATTAGACATAAATCATTAATGTTTTTATAGAAACATCAGATTTACTTCACTTTTTAATTCATAGCTCTCATTTGCTATTTAAGCAAAACAATCTTATAGATGAGTATTCCATCTTGCATATTCTTTGATTCTTCTTTTAAGAAATGATTTATTTTATGTGTAGGAGGGTCTTGCCCGCATGTATGTCTTGAGCCATGTATATTCAGTGCCCACAGAGGCTAGACAAGGGTGTTGATCCTTCTAGAACTGGAGTTACAGATGCTTGTGAGCCACCTTGTGGGTGTTGGGAGGTGAGCTCACTCAAGTTCTCTGGGAGAACATAACCACCTTTGCTCCCATCGCATCTTTAATTCTTATTATACAGGCTGATGATTGAATGAACTGCCATTCTGTCTTCCTAAATAAAGGCTGGTCAACAACATTCCGTATTTCAACCAGCCCTTACTTACGGGTCTGCTCTAGATAAGATACTGTCAGCAGTTGGGCCAATGTGACTTACAAATGAGCCCTGCTCCAAAGGAGTTAACAAGACATACAGGGAGCCAGGTATAGGGCTGTCCACTTACGCTCCGACCACTTGACACCTCAGACAGCAGGGACTTTAGTTCAAGGCCACATCGAGCTATATGGCCAGACTTTCTTTTTTAATTTATTTATTTATTCATTTATTACAATTTATTTTCTTTGTATTCCAGCTGTAGCCCTCTCCTTTATACCCTCCCAATTCTACCTTCCCTCTCTTTTGTCCTCCCATGCCCATCGCCCACCCCCCAGCCCACTGATAGCGGAGGTCCTCCTCCCCTTCCATCTGACCCCAGCTTATCAGGTCTCATCAGGCCTGGCTGCATTGTCTTCCTCTGTGGCCTGGTAAGGCTGCCCGCCCCCCAGGGGGAGATGATCAAAGAGCCAGCCACTGAGTTCATGTCAAAGACAGTCCTGTTCCCAAGCTACCCACTTGGACACTACATGGGCTACATCTGTGCAGGGGTTCTAGGATATCTCCATATATGGTCCTTGGTTGGAGTATCAGTCTCAGAAAAGACCCTTGTGCCCAGATTTTTTGGTTCTGTTGCTCTCCTAATGGAGGGAATGTCCTCTCCAGGTCTTTCATCTCTCCCTTCTTTCATAAGATTCCCTGCACTCTGCCCAAAGTTTGGCTATGAGTCTCAGTATCTGCTTTGATACCCTATTGGGTAGAGTCTTTCAGAGGCCTTCTGTGGTAGGCTCCTGTCCTGTTCCCTCTTTTCTCTCTCTTCCGATGTCCATCCCATTTGACTTGATTGATCATCTTACCCAGGGGCCTCCTTCTTGCTTAGCTTCTTTAGGTGGACAGATTTTAGTATGTTTATATGTATATTATATGTATTATATATGATATGATATGATATGATATTATATTATATTATATGTTTAATATCCACTTGTAAATGAGTAATACCATGTGTGTCTTTCTGCTTCTGGGATACCTCACTCAGGATGATCTTTTCTAGATCCCACCATTTGCCTGCTAATTTCATGATTTCTTTGTTTTTAATTGCTGAGTAGTATTCCATTGTCTAAATGTACCACAATTTCTGTATCCATTCCTCAGTTGAGGGACATCTGGGTTGTTTCCAGATTCTGGCTATTATGAATAAAGCTGCTATGAACATGGTTGAGCAAATGTCTTTGTTGTATACTTGAGCATCTTTTGGATACATGCCTAGGAGTGGTATAGCTGGATCTTGAGGTAGCACTATTCCTAATTGTCTGCGAAAGTGCCAGATTGATTTCCAAAGTGGTTGTACAAATTTACACTCCCACCAGCAATGGAGGAGGGCTCCTCTTTCTCCACATTCTCTCCAGTATGTGTTGTGGCCAGACTTTCAAACAAACAAAATGCCAAAACTTTGTATGGCTTGCAGGGGGTAGGGTGGAAGACATGTTAAAAAAAACTTAGATTCTTGAAAACTAACAAATTCAATTATACTAAGAACTCAAAGGGTGAGTTATGTCGTTTACAATTACAGAGTTTATTGGATCTCACATATCTGACAGATCATACTAGATGTGTACTGGTATCTTAGTTTGGGTTTCTATTGCTGTGAAGAGCCACCAGGACCATGGCAACTCTGATAAAGGAAAACATTTAACTGGGTTTGGTTTACAGTTTCGGAGGTTTATTCCCTTATTATCATGGCAGCAAGCATACAGGCAGATGTGGTGCTGGAGAAAGACCTGAGAGTTCTATATCCAGATCCACAGCAGCAAGGTGGGAGAGAGAGAGAGATGCTGGGCCTGGCTTGAGCATCTGAGATCTCAAAGTCCAATCCCTACTGATATAGTTTTTACAACAAGGCCACGCCTACTCCAGCAAGGCCACGCCTCCTAATAGTGCCACTCTCTATGGGCCTATAGGGGCCATTTTTATTCAAACACCCATAACTTATAAGTATATTCTGCTTGTTAATCAGTGACACAAACAAGGGTCATCTGGGAAGAAAGAAACTCAATTGAGAAAATGCCTTCATCAGATTGGCCTGTAGGCAATCTGTGGGGGCATTTTCTTTTTTTCTTTTTTTTAAATTAAATTTTTATTTTTATATTAACTACAGTTTATTTACTTTGTATTCCAGCTGTAGCTCCTTCCCTCATTTCTTCCCAATCCCACCCTCTCTCCCTCATCTCCTCCCTGCCCCTCTCTAAGTCCACTGATGGGGGAGGTCCTCCTCCCTTTCCATCTGATCCTAACTTATTAGGTCTCTTCAGGACTGGCTACTATGTCCTCATCTGTGGCCTAGAAAGGCTGCTCCTCCCTCTGGGATAGGGGGGAGGTCAAAGAGCTAGCAGTTGAGTTCATGTTGGAGACAGTCCCTGTTCCCCTAACTAGGGAACCCACTTGGATACTGAGCTGTGATGGGCTATATCTGGGCAGGGGTTCTAGGTTAGCTCCATTCATGGACTTGGTTGGAGAAACAGTCTCAGAAAAGACCCCTGGGCCCAGATATATTTGGTCCTTGTGGTGCTCCTGTCCTCACAGACCTTGAGAGAAAAATTCTCAACTTCATATGGAGAAACAAAAAAACCCCAGAATTTCCAAAATGATCCTGTACAACAACAGATCGTCTGGAGGCATCTCCGTCCCTGATCTCAAGCTGCACTACAGAGCAATAATAATAAAAACTGCATGGTCTTGGCATAGAAACAGAATGGTGGATCAAAGGAACCGAATAGAGGACCCAGAAATAAACCCACACACTTATGAATACTTGATTTTTGACAAAGAAGCCAAAACCATTCAATGGAAAAAAGACAGAATCTTCAACAAATGGTGCTGGTCCAACTGGATGTCTACATGCAAAAAAAAAAAAAGAAAAAGAAAATAGATCAATATTTATTACCCTGCACAAAACTAAAGTCCAAAGACCTCAGCATTTTCTTGAATAAAGATTGATGTTGGAAGGCTTAGCTCACTGTCAGTAGGCTACCTCTGGCCAGAAATAAGCCTGGGGAGTGAGCCAGTAGGCAGAATTTTCCCATGGTTTCATTTATTGTCTCCATGTTCCTGCTCTGACTTCCCTCAGTGATGGTCTGTGGGAAGGACCTCTATGCCAAATAAACATTTGTGTGTTCATTCAACAGCAGTAAAGAATGTCTTACTACTTTTCCATTGCTATGAGAATACACCATGGCCAAGGCAACTTACAGAAGACAAGGTTTATTTGGGGCCTATAATTTCCGAAGCTGAGAGTCTTTGAGCATGATGGCTGGGAGCACGGCAGCAGGTGTGCAGCCATGGCACTGAGAGCACTAGCTGAGAGCTTACATCTTGAGACACCACCACCTGGGGAGGGGGTGGGGAGATT